CGAGAAAGTAAATTAGAGGCAGTGTCAGCGGAACTCCTACTAGTGAAACAACAATCTCTGTCAGCTGCTGACACTCTCGCTAGTCTGACTTCACAAGTGCAGAATCTGACGCAGCAGAAGGAAGAACTCGCTGCAACGAACACCCAACAGCAATTCACCATAACAGACTTAGAAATGAACAAAACGCGACTTCAGGAAGCCAAAAGCAGCTTAGAACAGAACTTAGAAGAGTGCCAACAATCACTAGCTGAGGAAGCTAACACAAAGTTAGTAGAAATATAACACAGCCTAAATCTTGATATAACTATTAAGTATAACACCACTAAAATATTGCTATAACTGTTAAGTATAACATTTCTTGAATACTAGAATATGTGCTAGTTAGATCACACTGAGTGCTAGCTAGAATCACACTGACTGCTAGCTAGGGTCACAGTGCTAGCTAGGATCACAATGAGTGCTAGCTAGGATCACAATGAGTGCTAGCTAGGATCACAATGAGTGCTAGCTAGGATCACAATGAGTGCTAGCTAAGATCACGATGAGTGCTAGCTAAGATCACAATGAGTGCTAGCTAGGATCACAATAAATGCTACCTAGGATAACAATGAGTGCTAGCTAAGATCACAATGAGTGATAGCTAGGATCACAATAAGTGCCAGCTAGGATCACACTGAGTGCTAGCTAGGATCACAATGAGTGCTAGCTAGGATTACAATGAGTGCTAGCTAGGATCACACTGAGTGCTAGCTTGGACCACACTGAGTGCTAGCTAGGGTCACACTGAGTGCTACACTGAGTGCTAGCCAGGATCACACGGAGTGCTAGCCAGGATCACACAGTGATAGCTAGGATTAATTGCCAGCTATGACCAGACAGGAAATTTTATTTTTGCTAGGAGAATATGATTGTTAATCTTCTGCCTATCCCTATCAGGAGAGACTACATTTCACCCGACGATGGTCACTCAGAACCAGAATTCCATCACTCTCTCCACCGCCACCGTCACCGTCACCACCACCGCGACCGCGACCGTCACCGCCACCGCCACCGCCACCACTTTTAGTTACGATGACACTATGGCATTCAGTGGCACTCATTCTGTGAGTGAACATACTTCCTTAATGACAATATTGGGCAGTGGCACTCATCCTGTAAGTGAACGTACTGCCTTAATGACAGTATTGGGCAGTGGCACTCATCCTGTGAGTGAACACACTGCCTTAATGATAGTATTGGGCAGTGGCACTCATTCTATGAGTGAAAGTATTAACATAAACAGAATATTACATCCCAAAATGTTGACTCAACATATGCATCATGGCTGCTTCAGTATGTATATCTCTCTCTTTCTCTTTCTCTTTCTCTCTCTCTTTCTCTCTCACAGGATTTGACACGGTTAGGTTAAGGATCCCTAGCTTTATTGACAAGCTATTTACACGTTAAGGATTCCTAACTTTATTGACAAGCTAAGAGCTGTCACCTACATCAGTTCATTTGAAAGCATTTTTATTGTTATGAGACATACAAGTAGGGAACAGGATGAAGCTGGAGCCATCTGTGGGCCAGCAATTTCATTTGATCAACTGACTTTACCTCGTTGACATCATAATGCTGTACGAATGTGTTCCATACTCGAGTCATCCTGGGGATAAATGATCTCAGATGAAGTGATGTTCTGGAGAAGGGTACAGCCAGAGTGAAGTTGCTGCTTTCTGCCCGTCTTGTGGCATAAAAGCTTGTTTCACGCTGTCCTCGATGTGGAGCCAAGTGTGGCACTTTGACAATGTTGGCCTTTTACATAACAGTAAGGCTACCCACATCCTTCCTGTGTTGAAGGCTATGCTGAAATGACAGATCTATCCAGGATTGGTCCAGGCGAGAGATGAGACGTCTTGCTCTGTTCTCTACTCTGTCAAGCAGTCGCAGATGAGAGGGGGGGGCAGGCAAACCAAGAAAGTGGAGCATACTCAAGGTGTGAGCGTACTTGTGCCTCATACAGAATCTTGCAACCCATACTGTCAAGTAGCTGCGAGATACGTCGAAGTGCTGTAAGCTTCCTGGCTGCCTTGTTTGCATGATTTACAACGTGGTTCTTCATGGTCAGTTTGGAGTCAAATTTCACCCCAAGGATATCAACTTCTTCCCCAGGTGCCAACACCCTCCCATTCATACTTACTACTGCTCTGGTATTACCAGCATGGTTCCTAGAGGCCATCATTATCTGTGTTTTCTCAGGTGCAAATGTTACTTGCCATCGGTTTCCCCAAGCTGATATAGCTCTTAGCTGGTGATTGATGTAGCTTACAGCAGCTGGCATTTCTTCTCTTGGATAAGTAAATGCCAGTACAGTCGTCTGCATATGCATGGGATTCTGGGACGAGATGAAGGTCATTAAAGTAGACATTCCATAGCAATGGTCCCAGCACGCTTCCTTTTGGAACACTTGCCCCAATAGGACGTCTTGCTGATTCTGTTCCATTGAGAACTACACTTAGAACTACCCATGAAGGTAATCACTGAGGAGACATACCGTGGAGCCGGCAATTTCCAGTGCTAGGAGTTTTGCCACGAGGCCCTGGTGCCACACCCGGTCGAAAGCACCAGCAATGTCCAGTGCTACCACACAGCTGACTTTGGATTCATCCAGTGACTGGTGCCATTTAGTAGAGAGGTTTAACAACAGATCAGCAGCAGAGTAACCTTTCCTGAAGCCAAATTAACGGTCACAAAGTAGTGAGTGGTAGTCAAAAAACTCTGTTATTTATCTCTCTCTCTCTCTCTCTCCCTCTCTCTCTCCCTCCTCTCTTCTTCTCTCCTTCTCTCTCTCTCTCTCTCTCTCTCTCTCTCTCTCTCCTCTCTCTCTCTCTCCAGATTATCCTTATTAGATTGTAATGAATTTGCATATTTTTGGTTAAATGTTAAAAACATTAGTTATAGCATGATTAATAATTCTAGTAATCCGCTATTTAGTCTAGTAATCCGCTATTTTCTAAGAGTGTCCTTTCTAAGAGAGAGTGTGTGTCCTTTCTAAGAGAGAGAGTGTGTCCTTTCTAAGAGAGTGTGTCCTTTCTAAGAGAGTGTGTCCTTTCTAAGAGAGAGTGTGTGTCCTTTCTAAGAGAGAATGTGTGTCCTTTCTAAGAAAGAGAGTGTGTCCTTTCTAAGAGAGAGAGTGTGTGTTCTTTCTAAGAGAGAGAGTGTGTCCTTTCTAAGAGAGTGTGTCCTTTCTAAGAGAGTGTGTCCTTTCTAAGAGAGAGGATGTGGCCTTTCTAAGAGAGAGGATGTGTCCTTTCTAAGAGAGAGGGTGTGTCCTTTCTAAGAGAGAGATGTGTCCTTTCTAAGAGAGAGGATGTGTCTTTTCTAAGAGAGAGGATGTGTCTTTTCTAAGAGAGAGGATGTGTCCTTTCTAAGAGAGAGGATGTGTCCTCTCTAAGAGAGAATGTGTGTCCTTTCTAAGAGAGAGGATGTGTCCTTTCTAAGAGAGAAGATGTGTCCTCTCTAAGAGAGAATGTGTGTCTTTTCTAAGAGAGAGGATGTGTCCTTTCTAAGAGAGAAGATGTGTCCTCTCTAAGAGAGAATGTGTGTCTTTTCTAAGAGAGAGGATGTGTCCTTTCTAAGAGAGAGGATGTGTCCTCTCTAAGAGAGAATGTGTGTCCTTTCTAAGAAAGAGAGTGTGTCTTTTCTAAGAGAGAGAGAGAGTGTGTCCTTTCTAAGAGAGAGGATGTGTCCTCTCTAAGAGAGAATGTGTGTCTTTTCTAAGAGAGAGGATGTGTCCTTTCTAAGAGAGAGGATGTGTCCTCTCTAAGAGAGAATGCGTGTCCTTTCTAAGAAAGAGAGTGTGTCTTTTCTAAGAGAGAGAGAGAGTGTGTCCTTTCTAAGAGAGAGGATGTGTCCTCTCTAAGAGACCATAGCTGACATCAATTACGTATTATATACCTTGAGTATACCTGGAGAGGGTTTCGGGGGTCAACGCCCCTGCGGTTCGGTCTGAGACCAGTCCTCGTGGTGGATCAGGGTCTGATCAACCAGGCTGTTACTGCTGGCCGCACGCAAGCTGAAGTACGAACCACGGCCCTGCTGGTCAGGTACTGAATTTAGGTGCCTGTCCAGCGCCTTCTTGAAGACAGCCAGGATTCTAGTGGTAATCCCCCTTATGTATGCTGGAAGACAGTTGAACAGTCTTGGGCCCTTGACACTTATTGTGTTGTCTCTTATCGTGCTAGTGGCGCCCCTGCTTTTCATTGGGGAAATGTTGCATCTCTTGCCGAGTCTTTTGCTTTCATAGGGAGTGATTTTCGTGTGTAAATTTGGTACTAATCCCTCCTGGATTTTCTTGTTATGCAGAGCATTTCTGGTAGCTTAGGTTAATACTGTGTCCCAGGATGCCACCCACAATAGTCTATTAACACCCAGGTACCTACTTACTGCTAAGTGAACAGGGGTAAAGGGTGTAAGGAGACATGCCCAACGTTTCCACTCGTGCCGGAGACGAATCCTAGCCACCTTTCTTACTACCTCTCAAGTAATGAGACTATTATTATTGATGTAGCAAATCTCTATTTCCTAATGTATGTATCTCGTCAGCTGTCATCTTGATGCTGGTGCAATGTGTGTTCACCCCTGCTATCTTTGTTCACCCCTGCTATCTTTGTTCACCCCTGCTATCTTTGTTCACCCCTGCTATCTTTGTTCACCTCTGCTATCTTTGTTCACCCCTGCTATCTTTGTTCACCTCTGCTATCTTTGTTCACCCCTGCTATCTTTGTTCACCTCTGCTATCTTTGTTCACCTCTGCTATCTTTGTTCACCCCTGCTATCTTTGTTCACCTCTGCTATCTTTGTTCACCCCTGCTATCTTTGTTCACCTCTGCTATCTTTGTTCACCCCTGCTATCTTTGTTCACCTCTGCTATCTTTGTTCACCTCTGCTATCTTTGTTCACCCCTGCTATCTTTGTTTACCTCTGCTATCTTTGTTCACCCCTGCTATCTTTGTTCACCCCTGCTATCTTTGTTCACCCCTGCTATCTTTGTTCACCCCTGCTATCTTTGTTCACCGATGTTATCTTTGTTCACCCCTGCTATCTTTGTTCACCCCCGCTATCTTTGTTCACCCTTGCTATCTTTGTTCACCCCTGCTATCTTTGTTCACCGATGCTATCTTTGTTCACCGATGCTATCTTTGTTCACCGATGCTATCTTTGTTCACCCCTGCTATCTTTATTCACCGATGCTATCTTTGTTCACCCCTGCTATCTTTGTTCACCCCGCTATCTTTGTTCACCCTTGCTATCTTTGTTCACCCCTGCTATCTTTGTTCACCCCTGCTATCTTTGTTCACCCCTGCTATCTTTGTTCACCCCTGCTATCTTTGTTCACCGATGCTATCTTTGTTCACCCCTGCTATCTTTGTTCACCCCGCTATCTTTGTTCACCCTTGCTATCTTTGTTCACCCCTGCTATCTTTGTTCACCCCTGCTATCTTTGTTCACCCCTGCTATATTTGTTCACCCCTGCTATCTTTGTTCACCCCCGCTATCTTTGTTCACCCCTGCTATCTTTGTTCACCCCTGCTATCTTTGTTCACCCCTGCTATCTTTGTTCACCCCTGCTATCTTTGTTCACCCCTGCTATCTTTGTTCACCGATGCTATCTTTGTTCGCCCCTGCTATCTTTGTTCACCCCCGCTATCTTTGTTCACCCTTGCTATCTTTGTTCACCCCTGCTATATTTGTGTGTTCACCCCTGCTATCTTTGTTCAGCCCTACTATCTTTGTGTGTTCACCCCTGCTATCTTTGTTCACCCCTCCTATCTTTGTTCACCCCTGCTATCTTTGTTCACCCCTGCTATCTTTGTTCACCCCTGCTATCTTTGTTCACCCCTGCTATCCTTGTTCACCCCTGCAATCTTTGTTCACCCCTGCTATCTTTGTTCACCCCTACTATCTTTGTGTGTTCACCCCTGCTATTTTTGTTCACCCCTGCTATCTTTGTTCACCCCTGCTATCTTTGTTCACCCCTGCTATCTTTGTTCACCCCTACTATCTTTGTTTACCCCTGCTATCTTTGTTCAC